ACAAACTCCCAATATACAGCAGCAGGCATCGTCAGGGCTGGGATAGAACCCATGACCTTCTGAGCACCGGGCGAGGTAGTTAACATCTCCTCGCAAGGATTATGATGATGAGAGAGAGACAATGCAAACTACAAATATACAGCAGCAGGCATCGCCAGGGTCAGGATTGAACCCAAGACCTCCTGCGCACCAGGCGAGGTAGTTAACATCTCCTTGCCACCGTGATGATGATGAGAGAGAGAGACACGCAGACTTCAAATATACAGCAGCAGGCATCGTCAGGGTCGGGATCGAACCCAAGACCTCCTGCGCACCTGGCGAGGGAGTTAACATCTCCTAGCCACAGTGATGATGATGATGAGAGAGAGAGAGAAGCAGACTCCAAATATACAGCAGCAGGCGTCAGGGGTCGGGATCGAACCCACGACCTCCTGTATACCAGGCAAGGTAGTCAACATCTCCTAGCCACCGTGATGATGAGAGAGAGAGAGACACGCAGACTTCAAATATACAGCAGCAGGCATCGTCAGGGCTGGGATAGAACCCATGACCTTCTGCGCACCGGGCGAGGTAGTTAACATCTCCTTGCCACCGTGATGATGATGATGAGAGAGAGGGACGCAGACTTCAAATATACAGCAGCAGCAGGCATCGTCAGGGTCGGGATCGAACCCACGACCTCCTGCATACCAAGCGAGGTAGTTAACATCTCCTTGCAAACCGTGATGATGATGATGAGACACGCAAACTCCGAATATACAGCAGCAGGCATCTTCCGGGTCGGGATCGAACCCACGACCTCCTGTAGACCAGGCGAGGTAGTTATCATCTCCTAGCCACCGTGATGATGATGATGAGACACCACAAACTCCAAATATACAGCAGCAGGCGTCTTCAGGGTCGGGATCGAACCCACGACACCTCCTGCGCAACCGGGCGAGGTAGTTAACATCTCCCTGCCACCGCTCGTACCAAATCACACCTCCTCAAATCGCGCAGTCCATCGAGGCCCGCCTGACCTAGGGCCCTCTTGGCGAGCCACCGTGACCTGTGGAGGAGGAAGTTACCCCAACCCGTACCTCTCCTCCCTCCACACCGCGTGAAGGCAAAACAATTCCTCCCAAGGCTCCACACCACCGCAGACTCCGCACACCGCTACACCAGAGCTACTCATTTGAAAGTACACACAGGTAACAAAGGTCCCCCGTGTAGCCTCTTAATAAGGCTTGTCGGGGCAAGTGCTGTTAGTAGCGAGCAGCACCTGTTAAGGCTACCGGCACTCTGTGGCAACACGAGGTGGGGGTGGGGTGGCTAACCAGCACCACGCCCGGCCGCCTTTGTTCTCTCCCCCCCCCCCCCCCAGTAGCGATGTTTACACATCACACCAGGTACTCGTTTGATGCCGAGTCGACCTAGGGGAGGCCCAGGCAAGGGTCAAATAATCGTCACTGGGTGTTGGCCGTGAGCGGGAATCGAACTCGGGTCGCCGGGTTCGTAAGCGCTGCGTAGCGCTAACCGCTGCACCACCGCTCCCCCCACACAGACACACATACAGACACACACACGTACACACACGCGCACACACACGGCAAATATTCACACATGTCACACGTCTCAAAAGACAAAGAGACACGCACGTTCCACATTTCACAACAGTCACCTCACACCCACACACACAATAACACAGACACACAATACCACACACATTAACACATTAACACACCGATACACAGACACACATTAACACACACATTAACACACAGACACATTGACACACACAGACACACATTGACACACACACATTAACAGACACAATGCCACACACATACAATGATACACATTAACACACACACCGACACATGACACACACACAGACACACATTAACACACACACCAACACATGACACACATTGACACACACACATTAACAGACACAATGCCACACACATACAATGATACACATTAACACACACACCGACACATGACACACACACAGACACATGACACACAGACACACATTAACACACATTAACACACACACCAACACATGACACACATTGACCACACACATAACAGACACAATGACACACATTAACAGACACAATGACACACACATTAACAGACACAATGACACACACATTAACAGACACAATGACACACACACATTAACAGACACAATGACACACACACATTAACAGACACAATGACACACACACATTAACAGACACAATGACACACACACACATTAACAGACACAATGACACACACACATTAACAGACACAATGACACACACACATTAACAGACACAATGACACACACACATTAACAGACACAATGACACACACACATTAACAGACACAATGACACACACACATTAACAGACACAATGACACACACACATTAACAGACACAATGACACACACACATTAACAGACACAATGACACACACACATTAACAGACACAATGACACACACACATTAACAGACAATGACACACACACATTAACAGACAATGACACACACACATTAACAGACAATGACACACACACATTAACAGACACAATGACACACACACATTAACAGACACAATGACACACACACATTAACAGACACAATGACACAAACACATTAACAGACACAATGACACACACACATTAACAGACACAATGACACACACACATTAACAGACACAATGACACACACACACATTAACAGACACAATGACACACACACATTAACAGACACAATGACACACACACATTAACAGACACAATGACACACACATCAACAGACACAATGACACACACACATCAACAGACACAATGACACACACAGACACAATGACACACAGACACACACAGACACAATGACACACAGACACACACAGACACAATGACACAGACAATGACACACAGACACAATGACACACAGACACACACAATGACACACAGACACACACAATGACACACAATGACACACACAGACAATGACACAGACAATAAAACACACGCAATAACACACACAGACGCAATAACACCCAGACGCAATAACACACACACACACATTAACAGACACAATGACACATTAACAGACACAATGACACACACAGACACAATGACACACACAGACACAATGACACACACACAATGACACACAATGACACACAGACATAACACAGACAATAACACAGACAATGACACAGACAATGACACAGACAAAATAACACACAATAACAGAGACACAATAACACACAGACGCAATAACACACACAGACACAATAACACACACAGACACAATAACACACACATCCTCAGACAAAGAACCCCCCGTGTAGCCTCAACAGTCTGTAGGGGCAAGTGCTGTTAGTAGCGAGAGTAGCAGCAGCAGCTATGAAGGTAGACACAGACAAAGGTCCCCCGTGTAGCCTCTAACAGACTGTAGGGGCAAGTGCTGTGAGTAGCGAGTAGCAGCAGCGCCTATGAATAGATACAGACAAAGGTCCCCCGTATAGCTCTACAGGCTGTAGGGGCAAGTGCTGTTAGTAGCGAGTAGCAGCACCTATGAAGGTAGACACAGACAAAGATCCCCCGTGTAGCCTCTACAGACTGCTGGGGCAAGTGCTGTTAGTAGCGAGTAGCAGCAGCACCTATGAAGGTAGACACAGACAAAGATCCCCCGTGTAGCCTCTACAGACTGCTGGGGCAAGTGCTGTTAGTAGCGAGTAGCAGCAGCACCTATGAGGGCTACCGGCACTGTGGCACACGAGGTGGTGGGTGGCCAGCACCACGCCCGGCCGCCTTTGTCTCCCCCATTGGCGACGTTTTACACCATATTACCAGGTACTCATTTGAGGCCGAGCCGACCTAGGGGAGGACCCAGGTTCAGATAATCGTCACCGACGTTGGCCGTGAGCGGGAATCGAACTCGGGTCGCCGGGTTCGTAGCGCAGCGGTGCAGCGCTAACCACTGCACCACCGCTCCCCCCACACAACACACACCCCAGAGTCAGGCCTACCCCTTCCTCGGCATCCCTCGCAAAGCCCCCACTCTTGCCTGACCCCTCGTACCGACCGGGGTCGCACCTCGCCGGCAGGGACCGGAACCCTTCACACCTCCCCCCCTAACCACTGCACCACCGCTCCCCCACACAACACACACCCCAGAGTCAGGCCTACCCCTTCCTCGGCATCCCCCTCAAACCCCCCACTCTTGCCTGACCTCTCGTACCGACCGGGTAAGCACCTCGCCGGCAGGGACCGGAACCCTTCACACCTCCCCCCTAACCACTGCACCACCGCTCCCTCACACAACACACACCCCAGTCAGGCCTACCCCTTCCTCGGCATCCCTCGCAAAGCCCCCACTCTTGCCTGACCTCTCGTACCGACCGGGTAAGCACCTCGCCGGCAGGGACCGGAACCCTTCACACCTCCCCTCCTAACCACTGCACCACCGCTCCCTCACACAACACACACCCCAGAGTCAGGCCTACCCCTTCCTCGGCATCCCTCGCAAAGCCCCCATTCTTGCCTGACCTCTCGTACCGACCGGGTAAGCACCTCGCCAGCAGGGACCGGAACCCTTCACACCTCCCCTCCTAACCACTGCACCACCGCTCCCCCCACACAACACACACCCCAGAGTCAGGCCTACCCCTTCCTCGGCATCCCTCGCAAACCCCCCACTCTTGCCTGACCACTCGTACCGACCGGGGTCGCACCTCGCCGGCAGGGACCGGAACCCTTCACACCTCCCCCCTAACCACTGCACCACCGCTCCCCCACACAACACACACCCCAGAGTCAGGCCTACCCTTCCTCGGCATCCCTCGCAAAGCCCCCACTCTTGCCTGACCACTCGTACCGACCGGGGTCGCACCTCGCCGGCAGGGACCGGAACCCTTCACACCCTCCCTCTCCCCACCTCACAAATCCGACACCACAACCACAACAACCACCACCACAACAATGACCACGAACTGCAACCTTAAACGTCTCACCTTGAGGGGCAGAGAGGTCAATCTCGTCCAAGCTTCGAGCTGGAGAGTCGTTAGCCATCATTTTCCAATCCGGTTCTCCGGTAGAATATGAAGAAATCTCTCCGTCTTTGCTGTATTTCTCTCTCTCTCTTCTTCTCCGGTATCAATGAAACAACTAAAACGATGAATTAATCTTTTTTTTGCCCGACTTGCCAATTCGCATAAGCCGCCGATTAAATCGCTTGCTTTGTCTAAACAAAGAATAGCAAGCCCTCGTTTTAAACTGCGCCTTTGAACGACTGGCTGAATGAATGTCGAAGCGAACACGTTTATTGTGTCGCGTTCCAGATGCCCGGGGCCACTAACGTTTTAAACACCACGCGTCTAAAGCTAGCTATTCAGAGTCGCTGCAACAACGACGATGATGATGCTGATGGGGAAGAGAATTTGAAAAAAAAATAATTACAGAACGACAAATCTGGGGTTTACGGTTACAAAAAAAAATTGAACAAAAAAATTCAAAGGGGTTTCAAAAATCTACGTAAAGGATTCCGTAGAATTTTTTTTTACAAATTTTTGCGCGTTAACGTGAGGCTCTGTGTGGATTGTTACCAAACTGCTCTGTTTAGAACAGCAACCACGGTCAACAACAGCAGCGGACGAATGAATATCCCACCACCACCACCAAGCGCAGTGTCACGATCTCGCAGCGTCAATCACCACCAAGTTAATTGGTCCATTAACATTAATTGGGATGCACGCGCGAAATTAATAAGTGGTTTGGATTTACCCGCCGCCGCTTATTGTTGTTGTTGTTGCTGATGCCTGCTGCTGCTGCTGTTGTTGTTGATCGGATTGAGATATCGACGGTTAACAGTTTCGGGCTAAAGCGGACACTCTGGGAATGAATGAACGCGCGTTGTTGGCCCGTTTTTGGTTGGTTGGGTTGGTTTGTTGTTGATTGTTGTTGTTGGTCGAGGTTGTCTGTGCCTGCTGGCGGGGCGCGGTCGTTAACAGCAGCCGCCGCCGCCGCTGTCGTTCCTCCTTCTCCTCCTTCTTCTCCTCGTCGACGTTTCAGGCCACCTCCTTCTCCTCTCGCTCCTTCACGGCCATTGCACGACCGAACGCGGGCGGTGGCAGCAGCAGCAGCAGCAACAACCCCACCACCACCACCAACCCACCACCACCACCACCCACACACCCAATGCTCTTCTTGCTTTAACCCCCCCCCGCACAATAGGCAGGGGCGGTGTGGTGGTGGTAGCAGCAGCAGCAGCCACCGGCGATACCGCGGAGGGAGAGGGAAAGAGACAGAGAGGGAAGTTGGTGGGGGCGAGGTTTTTTTTTTGTTTATATACCGCGGAGGTAACACGTAGGCGGGGCTCTAAGCAGAGGGGGGGGGGGGTTTGTGGGCGGGGTTTAGTCGCGTCGAGCGGCTGTGATAGGGCGGAGCGGGTCGGTTGTGGGCGTGGTCAATGAAGTTTATGGGCGGGGTAGCCAGCAAGCAGGCCAACCCAACGCCCGGCTGGAGGAGGCGGGCGATACCGCGGAGGGAGAGGGAAAGAGAGACAGAGGAGGAGTGGTTGGTAGGGGGGAGGGGCGAGGTTTTTTTTGTTATATACCGCGGAGGTGCGTGGGCGGGGCTTAAACGAGGGGTGTGGGCGGGGTTTAAGTCGTATCGCTGCGGTTGTGGATAGGGCCAGCGAATTGGTGTGGGCGTGGGTCAATGAGGTTTATGGGCGGGGCAGCAGCAGCCACCAACCACCCGGGCTAAGGAGGCGACGATACCGTGGACGGAGGCAGGAGAGTGGTGGCGGGGGCGAGGATTTTTTTTGTTTATATACCGCAGAGTTGCGTGGGCGGGGCTAAGCAGGGTTTATATGTGGGCGGGGTTTAGTCGCGTCGCGCGGTTGTGATAGGGCCAGCGGGTTGTTTGTGGGCGTGGTCAATGAGGTTTATGGGCGGGGCAGCAGCAGACAGACAACCATCCCTCGGGCTAAGGTGGCGGCGATACCGCAGAGTGAGACAGAGAGAGGAGTGTGGGGTGGGGGCGAGGTTTTTTTTGTTTGTATACCGCGGAGGTGTGTGGGCGGGGCTAAGCAGTGGGCGGGGTTTAGTCGCGTCGCGCGGTTGTGATAGGGCGGGCGAGTTATTGTGGGCGTGGTCAATGAGGTTTATGGGCGGGGCAGCAGCAGCAGACAGACAACCATCCCTTCGGGCTAAGGTGGCGGCTATACCGCAGAGTGAGACAGAGAGAGGAGTGGTGGGGGGGGGGCGAGGTTTTTTTTGTTTATATACCGCGGAGGTGCGTGGGCGGGGCTAAGCAGGGGGTCGTGGGCGGAGTTTAGTCGTGTAGCAGGGCTGTGATAGGGCGAGCGGGTTAGTGTGGGCGTGGTTAATGACGTTTATGGGCGGGGTAGCAACAGCAGCCACCAGCACCTGGGCGGAGGCGGCGGCGATACCATGGACGGAGACAGAGAGGAAGTGGTGGGGGGCGAGGTTTTTTTTGTTTATATACCGCGGAGGTGCGTGGGCGGGGCTAAGCAGGGGTTGTGGGCGGGGTTTAGTCGCGTCGCGCGGCTGTGATAGGGCGGGCGAGTTAGTGTGGGCGTGGTTAATGAGGTTTAATGGGCGGGGCAACAGCAGCTTTCGTTACTGCACGGAAATCATAATCTTTGGTTCTTTCGGTAAAGTCACGTAGATAGGAAATATTATTTTTATTATTTAATTTTCTATCTACGGCACTTTATGGAAAGAACAAATTTTCACAGCAAATTTTCTTGCTGTGGTTTTCACACCTGATGATGATTGCTTGCGTTGCAATCGAAACGGTCGTGAGAATTGTATTGTTTTATATTTTTATTATTATTTTATTGTTTCCCTTCTAGGTGACTTTACCGAAAGAACCAAGAATATAACATCTGACCGCCACCCCTAGGTGCGTGACGTCATTTATGGACGGCCCCTATAAACATCAATTGCCCCTGCAGTCTGCATATCTGAAAACGGTCCAGGTGGCCTTCGCCTAGGTCGACTCGGCCTCAAACGAGTCCACGGTGACAGCGGGGAGACAAAGGCGGCCGGGCGTGGTGCTGGGGGCCACCCACCCACAGTGACAGCCTTCAGAAAGGTGCTACTTGCTAACGGCACCTGCCCCCGACACTCTTATCAAGGCTACACGGACGCTTGTGTGGCCCGAAACGTCGTGATTATTTTATTTTTCTACCCACGTGACTTTACCGACGGAACCGAAGAGATTTTGGATCCCTGCAGTCACGAAAGCTTTAATCAAGATTGGACAGTATTCTTATTTCTCAGGTCCCTGATACACTACTGTGGGTGTGGCTACCGGGTATGGTGGGCGTCTCTATGCTAATTTATATATAATTGTAGGGCGTGTCCAATGCCGAATGGGCGGGGCCAAGGGCTATTAACAGCTGACGACTCAGAACGGAACGCGCTGTTTCCGCACACTGTAACCCCTCCACAAAGACAAAGGTCCCCCGTGTAGCCTCAACAGACTGCTGGGGCAAGTGCTCTTAGTAGCGAGTAGCAGCAGCTATGAAGTAAACACAGACAAAGGTCCCCCGTGCAGCCTCTACATACGCCTGGGGCAAGTGCTGTTAGTAGCGAGTAGCAGCAGCACCTGTGAAGGTAGAAACAGACAAAGGTCCCCCGTGTAGCCTCTACAGATTGCTGGGGCACGTGCTGTTAGTAGCGAGTAGCAAGCAGCAGCACCTATGAAGGCTACCGGCACTGTGGCACACGAGGGGGTGGGTGCCCAGCGCCACGCACGGCCGCCTTTGTCTCCCCCCAATGGCGATGTACACACCCATCCGTAGCCAGATACTCATTCGAGGCCGAGTCGACCTAGAGGACACCCCAGGACCGGTTCAGATAATCGTCCCGGTGTTCGGTGTTTGTTGGTGGTGGCGGTGGTGTTTGGTAGTGGTGTGGTGGTGGCGGTGGTGTTTGGTGGTGGTGGTGGCGGTGTTTGTTGTGGTGGCGGTGGTGGTGGCGGTGGTGGTGGCGGTAGTGTTTGGTGGTGGTGTTGGTGGCGGTGGTGGCGGTGGTGTTTGGTGGTGGTGGTGGTGGTGGCGGCGTTTGGTGGTGGTGGTGGCGGTGGTGTTTGGTGTGGTGGGTTTTTGGTGTGGTGGTGGTGTGGGTTTGATGGTGGTGGCGGTGGTGTTTGGCAGTGGTGTGGTGGTGGCGGTGGTGTTTGGTGGTGGTGGCGGTGGTGATTGGTGGTGGTGGCTAACCGCTGTCCCACCGCTCCCACAGCCACACAGCAGGGAGGGAGGGAGTGGGGGGGTAGCATTGGATCTGTAGGCAATGAACAGAGCACGTTGCCAAAGCACAGAACGTGCCGGCGAAATTTTTTTTTAAAAAGAATATAAGAATAACTCACAAGTCGCTTGAAGCTACGCGGTAGATGGCGCGGTGCGGGTGGTGGGTGTATGATGTGGAGGAACGATTGCATTTTGCCACGTGTTCGTAGCAATGATGATGTCTTTTTGATTTTAAAGCTTCGTGACTGCAGTAATTCATATTCTTAGCTCTTTCGGTAAAGTCACGTTGAAGGGAAACAATAAAATAATAAATATATATAAAACAATAAAAAAATTCTCACGACGTTTCGACCAAACAAACGGTCGTCATCAGGTGTGTCGGTTTTGCATACATTTATTTTTAAAACGGTGTATTTATTTATGTATAAACCCGTCAGCGCCACGTGCACCGATTTGTCAGTTTATTTATTTTAAATTCTAAATAAACTGACAAATCGCTGCGTGTGGCGCTGACGGTTTTCATAAATAAATACACCGTTTAAAAATAATAAATTTATGCAAACGTCGTGAGAATTTTATTGAGTTATTTTATTTTATCAATTTATTATTTATTCTCATTCTACGTGGTGGTGACTTTACTGAAAGAACCAAAGAAGACGAAGCTCTGTCGTCCCGACAGTTCTGTTCTTTCACCTGAAGAAGGCTACTTGTGTTGTGGCCAAAACGTCGTGAGAATTTTGTTTTATTTTATTATTTTATTCTCATTCTACTGTGGTGGTGACTTTACCGAAAGAACCAAAGAGGTGTATATTGTATTACATTGTTCTGTTTTAGTTGTTTACCTTTCTTGTTTCATTGTTAGGGTACGTGTGGATATAAGACGTGCCCTCCCCCCCCTACGAAATGTCTCCGGAGCAAAACTACATATGTAATGGCAGAGATTATGGATTAATAAAGTACAACCATAACAACAATCAAATGTTTTTTGCCGTTGGTTTTCACACCTGATGATGACTGTTGGTGTTACAGTCGAAACGTCGTGAGAATTTTATTGTTTCATATATAGTTATTTTATTATTTTATTGTTTCCCTTGAACGTGACTTTGCCGAAAGAACCAAGAATATGAATTGCTGCAGTCACGACAGCTTTAAATCAAATTTTAAACAATCAAATAAACATGAATCTATTTTATAGCATATATTGGGGGGGGGGGGACATTTTTAGGCCTATTTAAATATATAATTACGGCTTGAAACACACAAATTCTTAACTTGCATAGTAAAGTAATTATATTTGTTCATTTGCTAGACGGCCGGATAATACGACACATCGCTCACTTACCACCCAGTCGTTTGACAAAAGTTGAAGGCGGTATAGTACTATAGTAATCGAGCAAGTGCAGAATCACTGAACCGGTAATTGATAGCTTGAAAGCATCTAACGCGGGGCCCTTGAAAGTGCGGGGCCCGTAGCTACTACACATGTAGCGACTTTTGCTACTGGGATCATCTGGCACTTTGTGAGTGAGCGAGCGAGCGAGGTCCTTGCTTCATCCAGCAGTGGATGGAGCCTGAGCACGGTGAATTATATATCCGCGGCGTGTGAGCTTTATCGGGTGAGGATCATACATTGGCCAAAGATCAATAATAATACGTGTGAGTGAGTGGGTGGGTGAGTGAGTGGGTGAGTGAGTGGACGGGTGGGTGAGTGAGTGAGTGAGTGGATGGGTGACTGAGTGGGTGAGAGAGTGAGTGAGTGATTGGAGGGGTGGGTGAGTGGACGGGTGGGTGAGTGAGTGGATGGGTGACTGAGTGGGTGAGAGAGTGAGTGAGTGATTGGAGGGGTGGGTGAGTGGACGGGTGGGTGAGTGAGTGGGTGAATGAGTGGACGAGCGGGTAAGTAAGTGGGTGAGTGGACGGGTGGGTGAGTGAGTGGGTGAGTGGACGGGTGGATGAGTGAGTGGGTGAGTGAGTGGACGGGTGTGTGAGTGAGTGGGTGAGTGAGTGGACGGGTGGGTGAGTGAGTGGTGGGTGAGTGAGTGGTGGGTGACTGAGTGGGTGACTGAGTGGGTGAGTGAGTGAGTGATTGGACGGGTGGGTGAGTGAGTGGGTGAGTGGACGGGTGGGTGGGTGAGTGAGTGGGTGAGTGAGTGACGAGTGGGTGAGTAAGTGGGTGAGTGGACGGGTGGGTGAGTGAGTGGGTGAGTGAGTGGACGGGTGGGTGAGTGGGTGAGTGAGTGGACGGTGGGTTGGGTGGGTGGGTGAGTGAATGGGTGGGTGACTGAGTGGGTGAGTGAGTGGTGAGTGATTGGACGGGTGGGTGAGTGGGTGGGTGAGTGGACGGATGGGTGAGTGAGTGAGTGGGTGAGTGAGTGGACGAGTGGGTGAGTAAGTGGGTGAGTGGACGGGGGGTGAGTGAGTGGGTGAGTGGACGGGTGGATTAGTGAGTGACTTTATAAATAAATATAGACAACACGTTTTACTTAATTTAAAATACTTTTTAACAATGTTTTCTCCGACAATAGGGGCCGTCCATAAATGACGTCATTTATGGATGGCCCCTATTTCGCTAAGTAAGAAGATAGCCCTAAGACCTCATCATCTGTTAGACTCCCCCCCCACCACCATCATCTATCTGAGATGCTGACAGAGAGAGGGGCACGTGGATTATTGAACACACTGAGACATTTTGATTTAAAGCTTTCGTGACTGCAGGGATTCTATTCTTGGTTCTTTCGGTAAGTCACGTAGAAGGGAAACAATTATCCATTATTTTTCGTCTCCCCCCTCCTCTTTTCCGAACATAGATGGACTCGTCCATCTGAATGGCTCACCAAATCGCTCTCCGTGGTGCTGACGTTAAAAAAAACCCGCCACTTTTTTTTTCTTCAATTTACTTGCCATGGTTTTCACACCTGATGATGATTGCTTGTGTTGCAGTCGAAACGTCGTGAGAATTGTATTGTTTTATATTTTTATTATTTTACTGTTTCCCTTCTACGTGGTGACTTTGCCAAAGACCCAAGAATACACTGAGACATCTTCATCCAGCAGTGGATAGTCCACGGCGATGACGAGAATCGCATCGAGAGAGACGAGAGAGAGAGTAGCACGTGGATTATTGAACACAACGGGGCTAGATAATTGATCACCATTACATTGACGATGCTCGTCCAGCAGTGGATAGACCACGTCGGTGACGAGAATCACACCGAGACACGGAGATAGCAACACGTGATATTGGAGTTGCTCACACGTGGCTAGAGAAATCGTCATCACCGTCATCACATTGATTATCCTCATCCAGCAGTGGATAGAGAATCACACCGAGACACGGAGATAGGAACACGAGGTGAGATTGGAGTTGCTCACACGTGGCTAGAGAAATCGTCATCACCGTCACCACATTGATTATCCTCATCCAGCAGTGGATAGAGAATCACACCGAGACACGGTAGATAGTAACACGTGGTGAGATTGGAGTTGCTCACACGTGGCTAGAGAAATCGTCATCACCATCACCACATTGACGATGCTCATCCAGCAGTGGATAGAGAATCACACCGAGACAAAGAGATAGTAACACGTGGTGAGATTGGAGTTGCTCACACGGGGCTAGAGAAATCGTCATCACCATCACCACATTGACGATGCTCATCCAGCAGTGGATAGAGAATCACACCGAGACACAGAGATAGCAACACGTGGTGAGATTGGAGTTGCTCACACGTGGCTAGAGAAATCGCCATCACACATTGACGATGCTCATCCAGCAGTGGATAGAGAATCACACCGAGACACAGAGATAGTAACACGTGTGAGATTGGAGTTGCTCACACGGGGCTAGAGAAATCGTCGTCATCACCATCGCTGGTCATCATCCAGCAGTGGATAAGACCACGTCGGTGACGAGAATCACACCGAGACACAGAGATTAGCAACACGTGGTGAGATTGGAGTTGCTCACACGTGGCTAGATAAATCGTCATCGCCATCACCATCGCTGGTCATCATCCAGCAGTGTATAGGACCATGACGTCACCGGTGTCCAAGGCCGCCACGCGCCGGGTCACGTGCGGTGACGTTCGAGCACGAGCGGGCCGTCGGCCATCTTGGGTAGGGGTGGCGGTGGGTGTGCACGTGACTGCGCGCCGCGAGCCAATGAGAGCGCGGTGTGGCAAAACCGGAAGTTGTGACGGCCACCTCCGACCCCACCCCGTAGGCCCCGCCCTCCCCTTCACCCGGCGTGACATTGAAAGAGGCTCGCGCGCGCGGGCACGTGAGTCGGCTCACCCACGTGGTGAGTGATGTGAGTGAGTGTGAGTGAGTGAGTGTGTGAGTGAGTGTGAGTGAGTGAGTGTGTGAGTGAGTGTGAGAGTGAGTGTGAGTGGGTCATGTAGCCCGCATGCCCAGCCACCGCATGCCGAAACAGCTTTTGTTCGGCCGGATCGAGGGGGCTAAGCGGGCGAGGCACGGGGCTGGAGAAGAGATGGAGTGACGTGGTACAGGAGGACGTGGAGCTGAGTGGACTTGCGATGACCGGTACCAGCGGTGTCAAGATCGGCCTCAGTGGAGGAGGAGGCTCGTGAAGGACGCTGCTACTGGGCAGTTGTTGGAGGCAGTCGCCCTCCAACAACAACGGAGGGCGGAGGAGCGACGCTCACAACAACGAGCGGAGCGCCGGGTGGTTAAAGCACAGCGAGTTGGCACAGTACGGGGCACAGGTGGTGCATCAGCCAGTCATCTCAGTCAGTCGATCCGTGGCACCTGGGTCTGCCCCCGTGACCTCCTGCCAGCTGGCTTTCAACACTTCACGTGGCCTCAGGGTGCACATAGCCTGGCACACACGGGGGGCGAGGTGGTGGTGGTGATTCCACGCTCACGGTCCCGGGCCTCGCCTAGGTCGACTCAGCCTCAACGTCAGTTTGGCCGGTGCGGGAGGAAGCATCCGCCACTGGGGGAAGACAAAGGCGGCCGGGGGCGTGGTGCTGGTAGCCACCCAGCACCTCGTGTGCCACGGTGCCGGTAGCCTTAATAGGTGCTCGCTACTAACAGCACTTGCCCCTACAGTCTGTAGAGGCTACACGGGGGACCTTTGTGTCTACCTTCATAGGTGCTGCTACTCGCTATTAACAGCACTTGCCCCAGCAGCCTGTAGAGGCTACACGGGGGATCTTTGTCTGTGTCTACCTTCATAGGTGCTGCTACTCGCTACTAACAGCACTTGCCCCTACAGTCTGTTGAGGCTACACGGGGGACCTTTGTCTGTGTCTACCTTCATAGCTGCTGCTGCTACTCGCTACTAACAGCACTTGCCCCTACAGTCTGTAGAGGCTACACGGGGGACCTTTGTCTGTGTGTACCTTCATAGCTGCTGCTGCTACTCGCTACTAACAGCACTTGCCCCAGCAGTGTGTAGAGGCTACACGGGGGACCTTTGTCTGTGTGTACAGACGCTGCAGGCGCCATGCTGCGAGTGACGACCCCAGCGGTGCGCTGGGCGAGCCAGGGGCGGTTACTCCGAAACAGCTCGGTACTCACACACACTGTACACACGCACTGTACACACTGTACACGCACTATGCACACTGTATACACTGTACACACAGCACACCGCGTACACACTGTACACTCACTGCACACACTACACACAGCGCACACACCGTGCATACACTGTACACACAGCACACACACTGTACACACAGCACACCGCGCACACTGTACACACAGCACACACGCACTGTACACACACTGCACACAGTGTACACACACTGCGCACACTGTACACACACTGTACACACACCGTACACACACAGTGTACATACACACAGTGTACACAATACTGTACTTACGCCCACGGCACACACGCACTGTACACACGCACCGCACACACACTGTACACACACGTGCACTCACACATTGTACACACACTGCACGCACATACTGTACACACAGTGCACACACTGCACACACGCACTGTACACGCACTGTACACACACTGTACACAGTGTACACACACACAGTGTACACACACAGTGTACACACACACTCACACACACACGTGTACACACACAGTGTACACACACAGTGTACACACACACTCACGTGTACACACACACTCACGTGTACACACACACGCACCACGTGTGCACACACACACCACGTGTACACACACACACTCACGTTTACACACACCACGTGTACACTCACTCACACACACACACTCACGTGTACACACACACACCACGTGTACACACACACCACGCGTACACACACACACACACCACGTGTACACACACACACCACGTGTACACACACACCACGTGTACACACACACACCACGTGTACACACACCACGTGTACACACACACACCACGTGTACACACACCACGTGTACACACACCACGTGTACACACACCGCGTGTACACACACCACGTGTACACACACCACGTGTACACACACACCACGTGTACACACACACACCACGTGTACACACACCACGTGTACACACACACACACACACCACGTGCGTGCGTGAGCATCTTAACCCGGTTTCGCCGCCTTCAACGGCAGGCTAAAGACACCGGGCCTCGCTCGCTTTGGCACCCCGTAGTTCTCTATCACCGCCGCTCACCGAATGTTGCCGGTCCGCCGCCGTCGCCGCCCAGCCCCGCCGGCGCTACCGCCGCTCCGCCGGCGGTCGGCGGCCTCCCCCGCGGGGGCCGGGCCGGCGGCCGCCGCCGCCGCCGCCGCCGCCGTGACCCCCAACGAGAAGATCCGGAACATCGGAATTTCGGCTCACATCGACTCGGGCAAGACGACGCTGACGGAGCGCGTGCTGTTCTACACGGGCAAGATCGCACGCATGCACGAGGTTGGGACCGACACGCTCACCACCACCACCACGCTCACCACCACGCTCACCACCACCACGCTCACCAACACCACGCTCACCAACACCACCACCACCACGCTCACCACGACGCTCACCACGACGCTGACGGAGCGCGTGCTGTTCTACACGGGCAAGATCGCACGCATGCACGAGGTTGGGATCGACACGCTCACCACCACCACCACCACGCTCACCATGACGCTCACCACCACCACCACCACGCTCACCATGACGCTCACCACGCTCACCACCACGCTCACCACCACCACCACCACGCTCACCATGACGCTCACCACGCTCACCACCACGCTCACCACCACCACCACCACGCTCACCATGACGCTCACCACCACGCTCACCACCACCACCACCACGCTCACCATGACGCTCACCACGCTCACCACCACGCTCACCACCACCACCACGCTCACCACCACGCTCACCAACACCACGCTCACCACCACGCTCACCAACACCACCACCACGCTCACCACCACGCTCACCACCACCACGCTCACCACCACCACCACCACCACGCTCACCACCACCACGCTCACCAACACCACCACGCTCACCACCACGCTCACCACCACGCTCACCACCACCACGCTCACCACCACCACCCTCACCACCACCACCACCCTCACCACCACCACCACCCTCACCACCACCACCACCACCACGCTCACCACCACTACGACACTCACCACCATGCTTGCCTCGTATCATGGACACTGTTGTGGTGGTGGTGGTTGTAGTGAAGGTGGTTGTAGTGGTGGTGGTTGTGGTGGTTGTAGTGATGGTGGTTGTAGTTGTAGTGATGGTGGTTGTGGTGGTGGTTGTAGTGATGGTGGTTGTGGTGGTGGTTGTAGTGACGGTGGTTGTGGTGGTGGTTGTAGTGATGGTGGTTGTGGTGGTGGTTGTAGTGATGGTGGTTGTGGTGGTGGTTGTAGTGATGGTGGTTGTGGTGGTGGTTGTAGTGATGGTGGTTGTGGTGGTTGTAGTGGTTGTAGTGGTGGTGGTGGTAGTTGTAGTGATGGTGGTTGTAGTGGTGGTGGTAGTAGTTGTAGTGATGGTGGTTGTAGTGGTGGTGGTTGTGGTGGTTGTAGTGAAGGTGGTTGTAGTGGTGGTGGTTGTGGTGGTTGTAGTGATGGTGGTTGTAGTTGTAGTGATGGTGGTTGTAGTGATGGTGGTTGTGGTGGTTGTAGTGGTTGTGGTGGTTGTAGTGGTGGTGGGTGTAGTGATTTTGCTTGTAGTGGTGGTGGTTGTGGTGGTTGTGGTTGCAGGTGAAGGGGAAGGTTGGGGTTGGTGCCGTGATGGATTCTACGTTGAGTGTGGTGGTGATGGTGGTTGTGGTGGTGGTTGTTGTGGTTGTGGTTGCAGGTGAAGGGGAAGGATGGGGTTGGTGCCGTGATGGACTCTACGTTGAGTGTGGTGGTGGTGGTAGTTGTAGTGATGGTGGTTGTTGTGGTTGTGGTTGCAGGTGAAGGGGAAGGATGGGGATGGTGCCGTGATGGACTCTACGTTGAGTGTGGTGGTGGTGGTGATGGTGGTGGTGGTGGTGGTGGTTGTAGTGATGGTGGTTGTGGTGGTGGTTGTTGTGGTTGTGGTTGCAGGTGAAGGGGAAGGATGGGGTTGGTGCCGTGATGGATTCTACGTTGAGTGTGGTGGTGATGGTGGTTGTGGTGGTGGTGGTTGTGGTGGTAGTGGTGGTGGTGGTAGTTGTAGTGATGGTGGTTGTGGTGGTGGTGGTTGTGGTGGTGGTGGTTGTTGTGGGTTGTGGTTGCAGGTGAAGGGGAAGGATGGGGTTGGTGCCGTGATGGACTCTACGTTGAGTGTGGTGGTGCTGGTGGTTGTGGTGGTGGTGGTGGTTGGGGTTGCAGGTGAAGGGGAAGGATGGGGTTGGTGCCGTGATGGACTCTACGTTGAGTGTGGTGGTGATGGTGGTTGTGGTGGTTGTGGTGGTAGTGGTGGTGGTGGTAGTTGTAGTGATGGTGGTTGTGGTGATGGTGGTTGTGGTGGTGGTGGTTGTTGTGGTTGTGGTTGCAGGTGAAGGGGAAGGATGGGTTTGGTGCCGTGATGGATTCTACGTTGAGTGTGGTGGTGATGGTGGTTGTGGTGGTTGTGGTGGTAGTGGTGGTGGTGGTAGTTGTAGTGATGGTGGTTGTGGTGATGGTGGTTGTGGTGGTGGTGGTTGTTGTGGTTGTGGTTGCAGGTGAAGGGGAAGGATGGGGTTGGTGCCGTGATGGACTCTACGTTGAGTGTGGTGGTGATGGTGGTTGTGGTGGTTGTGGTGGTAGTGGTGGTGGTGGTAGTTGTAGTGATGGTGGTTGTGGTGATGGTGGTTGTGGTGGTGGTGGTTGTTGTGGTTGTGGTTGCAGGTGAAGGGGAAGGATGGGTTTGGTGCCGTGATGGATTCTACGTTGAGTGTGGTGGTGATGGTGGTTGTGGTGGTTGTGGTGGTAGTGGTGGTGGTGGTAGTTGTAGTGATGGTGGTTGTGGTGATGGTGGTTGTGGTGGTGGTGGTTGTTGTGGTTGTGGTTGCAGGTGAAGGGGAAGGATGGGGTTGGTGCCGTGATGGACTCTACGTTGAGTGTGGTGGTGATGGTGGTTGTGGTGGTGGTGGTGGTTGTGGTTGCAGGTGAAGGGGAAGGATGGGGTTGGTGCCGTGATGGACTCTACGTTGAGTGTGGTGGTGATGGTGGTTGTGGTGGTTGTGGTGGTAGTGGTGGTGGTGGTAGTTGTAGTGATGGTGGTTGTGGTGATGGTGGTTGTGGTGGTGGTGGTTGTTGTGGTTGTGGTTGCAGGTGAAGGGGAAGGATGGGTTTGGTGCCGTGATGGATTCTACGTTGAGTGTGGTGGTGAGGTGGTTGTGGTGGTTGTGGTGGTAGTGGTGGTGGTGGTAGTTGTAGTGATGGTGGTTGTGGTGATGGTGGTTGTGGTGGTGGTGGTTGTTGTGGTTGTGGTTGCAGGTGAAGGGGAAGGATGGGGTTGGTGCCGTGATGGACTCTACGTTGAGTGTGGTGGTGATGGTGGTTTGTGGTGGTTGTGGTGGTAGTGGTGGTGGTGGTAGTTGTAGTGATGGTGGTTGTGGTGATGGTGGTTGTGGTGGTGGTGGTTGTTGTGGTTGTGGTTGCAGGTGAAGGGGAAGGATGGGTTTGGTGCCGTGATGGATTCTACGTTGAGTGTGGTGGTGATGGTGGTTGTGGTGGTTGTGGTGGTAGTGGTGGTGGTGGTAGTTGTAGTGATGGTGGTTGTGGTGATGGTGGTTGTGGTGGTGGTGGTTGTTGTGGTTGTGGTTGCAGGTGAAGGGGAAGGATGGGGTTGGTGCCGTGATGGACTCTACGTTGAGTGTGGTGGTGATGGTGGTTGTGGTGGTGGTTGTTGTGGTTGTGGTTGCAGGTGAAGGGGAAGGATGGGGTTGGTGCCGTGATGGACTCTATGGATCTGGAGCGGCAGCGAGGCATCACCATCCAGTCAGCAGCAACCTACAGCGAGTGGCGTGGCCACAATATCAACATCATCGACACGCCTGGTACACCACCACCACAACAACTACCACCACCACAACAACCACTACAACCACAACAACTACCACAACCACCACAACTACCACCACCATCATCGACACGCCTGGTACACCACCACCACCACCACAACTACCACCACCACCACAACAACTACCACCACCACAACAACTACCACCACCATCATCGACACGCCTGGTACACCACCACCACCACCACAACAACTACCACAACCACAACAACTACCACCACAACTACCACCATCATCATCGACACGCCTGGTACACCACCACCACCACCACCACAACTACCACCACCACAACAACTACCACAACCACAACAACTACCACAACCACCACAACTACCACAACCACCACAACTACCACAACCACCACAACTACCACCACCACAACAACTACCACAACCACCGCAACTACCACAACCACCACAACTACCACCACCATCATCGACACGCCTGGTACACCACCACCACCACCACAACTACCACCACCACCACAACAACTACCACCACCACAACAACTACCACCACCATCATCGACACGCCTGGTACACCACCACCACCACCACAACAACTACCACAACCACAACAACTACCACCACAACTACCACCATCATCATCGACACGCCTGGTACACCACCACCACCACCACCACAACTACCACCACCACAACAACTACCACAACCACCACAACTACCACAACCACCACAACTACCACAACCACCACAACTACCACCACCACAACAACTACCACAACCACCGCAACTACCACAACCACCACAACTACCACCACCACAACAACTACCACAACCACCACAACTACCACAACCACCACAACTACCACCACCATCATCGACACGCCTGGTACACCACCACCACCACCACAACTACCACCACCACCACAACAACTACCACCACCACAACAACTACCACCACCATCATCGACACGCCTGGTACACCACCACCACCACCACAACAACTACCACAACCACAACAACTACCACCACAACTACCACCATCATCATCGACACGCCTGGTACACCACCACCACCACCACCACAACTACCACCACCACAACAACTACCACAACCACAACAACTACCACAACCACCACAACTACCACAACCACCACAACTACCACAACCACCACAACTACCACCACCACAACAACTACCACAACCACCGCAACTACCACAACCACCACAACTACCACCACCACAACAACTACCACAACCACCACAACTACCACAACCACCACAACTACCACCACCACAACAACTACCACCACCACCACAACTACCACAACCATCATCGACACGCCTGGTACACCACCACCACCACCACCACAACTACCACCACCACAACAACTACCACCACCACAACAACTACCACCACCACAACAACTACCACAACCACCACAACTACCACAACCACCACAACTACCACAACCACCACAACTACCACAACCACAACAACTACCACAACCACCACAACTACCACCACCATCATCGACACGCCTGGTACACCACCACCACCACCACAACTACCACCACCACCACAACAACTACCACCACCACAACAACTACCACCACCATCATCGACACGCCTGGTACACCACCACCACCACCACAACAACTACCACAACCACAACAACTACCACCACAACTACCACCATCATCATCGACACGCCTGGTACACCACCACCACCACCACCACAACTACCACCACCACAACAACTACCACAACCACAACAACTACCACAACCACCACAACTACCACAACCACCACAACTACCACCACCACAACAACTACCACAACCACCGCAACTACCACAACCACCACAACTACCACCACCACAACAACTACCACAACCACCACAACTACCACAACCACCACAACTACCACCACCACAACAACTACCACCACCACCACAACTACCACAACCATCATCGACACGCCTGGTACACCACCACCACCACCACCACAACTACCACCACCACAACAACTACCACCACCACAACAACTACCACCACCACAACAACTACCACAACCACCACAACTACCACAACCACCACAACTACCACAACCACCACAACTACCACAACCACCACAACTACCACAACCACCACAACTACCACCATCATCATCGACACGCCTGGTACACCACCACAACCACAACAACTACCACCACCACAACAACTACCACAACCACCACAACTACCACAACCACCACAACTACCACAACCACCACAACCACCACAACCACCACAACTACCACCACCATCATCGACACGCCTGGTACACCACCACAACCACAACAACTACCACCACCACAACAACTACCACAACCACCACAACTACCACAACCACAACAACTACCACCACCACAACAACTACCACCACAACAACAACGACAACAACCACCACCATCATCGCCACCACCACCGCCATGACCCCCCTCCCACTCTCACCCACGTGCCCCCCACTCCACCCCACCACCACCACCACCACTCCCCCCCCCCCCAACACTCTCACCCACGTGCCCCCCACTCCACCCCCCCACTACCACCACTCCACCCCCCCCCCCCACTCTCACCCACGTGCCCCCCACTCCACCCCCCCACCACCACCACCACCACCACGACTCCCCCCCCCCACTCTCACCCACGTGCCCCCCACTCCACCCCACCACCACCACCACTCCACCCCCCCCCCCACTCTCACCCACGTGCCCCCCACTCCACCCCCCCACCACCACTCCACCCCCCCCCCAACACTTTCACCCACGTGCCCCCCACTCCACCCTCCCACCACCACCACTCCCCCCCCCCCCCAACACTCTCACCCACGTGCACCCCCCCACCACCACCACCACTCCACCCCCCCTCCCAACACTCTCACCTACGTGCCCCCCCACTCCACCCACCACCACCACCACCACTCCACCCCCCCCCCCAACACTCTCACCCACGTGCCCCCCACTCCACCCCACCACCACCACCACTCCACCCCCCCCAACACTCTCACCCACGTGCCCCCCACTCCACCCCACCACCACCACCACCGCTCCACCCCCCCCCCCCCCAACACTCTCACCCACGTGCCCCCCCGCTCCACCCCCCTACCCCCCACTGTCCCCACACCCCAGGCCACGTGGACTTCACGATCGAGGTGGAGCGAGCGCTGCGTGTGCTGGACGGTGCCGTGCTGGTGCTGTGTGCCGTGGGTGGCGTGCAGTGCCAGACCATGACGGTGTGTCGCCAGATGCGCCGGTACCGCGTGCCCTTCGTCACATTCATCAACAAGCTGGACCGCCAGGGAGCCGACCCAGCTCGCGCTGTCGCCATGATGAGGTGGGGGTCGTCGTCCGCGTGTCTCCGTGTGTCTGTGTCTGTGTGTCTCCGTGTGTCTGTGTGTGTCCGTGTGTCTGTGTGTGTCTCTGTGTGTGTCCGTGTGTCTGTGTCTGTGTGTCTGTGTGTGTGTCCGTGTGTCTGTGTGTCTGTGTGTCTGTGTCTCCGTGTGTCCGTGTCTCCGTGTGTCCGTGTCTCCGTGTGTCCGTGTGTGTCTCCGTGTCTCCGTGTGTGTCCGTGTGTCTGTGTGTCTGTGTGACTGTGTGTGTGTCCGTGTGTCTGTGTGTCCGTGTCTCAGTGTGTCTGTGTGTCTGTGTGTCTGTGTCTCTGTGTGTCTGTGTCTCTGTGTGTCTGTGTCTCTGTGTGTCTGTGTGTCTGTGTCTCTGTGTCCGTGTCTCAGTGTGTCTGTGTGTCTGTGTCTCTGTGTGTCTGTGTCTCTGTGTATCTGTGTGTCTGTGTGTGTCCGTGTCTCCGTGTGTGTCCGTGTCTCCGTGTGTGTCCGTGTGTCTGTGTGTCTGTGTGTCTCCGTGTCTCAGTGTCTGTGTGTGTGTGTGTGTCTGTGTGTGTGTGTCTCTGTGTGTCCGTGTGTCTGTGTCTTTGTGTGTCTGTGTGTCTGTGTGTCTGTGTGTCCGTGTTTCAGTGTCTCCGTGTCTCCGTGTGTGTCCGTGTCTCTGTGTGTCTGTGTGTCTGTGTGTCTGTGTCTCTGTGTGTCTGTGTGTCTGTGTGTCCGTGTCTCAGTGTCTCCGTGTCTCCGTGTGTGTCCGTGTCTCTGTGTGTCTGTGTGTGTGTGTCTCTGTGTCTCTGTGTGTCCGTGTCTCCGTGTGTCTGTGTGTCTGTGTGTGTCCGTGTCTCTGTGTCCGTGTCTCTGTGTGTCTGTGTGTCTGTGTCTCCGTGTGTCTGTGTGTGTCTGTGTATCCGTGTGTCCGTGTGTCTGTGTGTCCGTGTGTCTGTGTGTCTGTGTGTCTGTGTGTCTGTGTCTCCGTGTGTGTCCGTGTCTCTGTGTGTCTGTGTGTATCTGTGTATCCGTGTGTCCGTGTGTCTGTGTGTCCGTGTGTCTGTGTCTCTGTGTGTCTGTGTGTCTGTGTGTCTGTGTGTCCGTGTTTCAGTGTCTCCGTGTCTCCGTGTGTGTCCGTGTCTCTGTGTGTCTGTGTGTCTGTGTGTCTGTGTCTCTGTGTGTCTGTGTGTCTGTGTGTCCGTGTCTCAGTGTCTCCGTGTCTCCGTGTGTGTCCGTGTCTCTGTGTGTCTGTGTGTCTGTGTCTCTGTGTCTCTGTGTGTCCGTGTCTCCGTGTGTCTGTGTGTCTGTGTGTGTCCGTGTCTCCGTGTGTCTCCGTGTCTCCGTGTGTGTCCGTGTCTCTGTGTGTGTCTGTGTCTCCGTGTGTCTCCGTGTCTCCGTGTCTCCGTGTGTGTCCGTGTGTCTCCGTGTGTGTCCGTGTGTCTCCGTGTGTGTCCGTGTGTCTGTGTCTCCGTGTGTCCGTGTCTCTGTGTGTCTGTGTGTCCGTGTCTCTGTGTGTCTGTGTGTCTGTGTCTCCGTGTGTGTCCGTGTCTCTGTGTGTCCGTGTGTCTGTGTCTCTGTGTGTGTCCGTGTCTCAGTGTGTGTGTGTGTGTCCGTGTCTCCGTGTGTCTCCGTGTCTCAGTGTGTCTGTGTGTCTGTGTGTCCGTGTCTCCGTGTGTGTCTGTGTGTCCGTGTGTGTCCGTGTCTCCGTGTGTGTCCGTGTCTCAGTGTGTCTGTGTGTCTGTGTGTCCGTGTCTCAGTGTGTCTGTGTGTCTGTGTGTCCGTGTCTCCGTGTCTCTGTGTGTCCGTGTCTCCGTGTCTCAGTGTGTCTGTGTGTCTGTGTGTCTGTGTCTCTGTGTGTCTGTGTGTCTGTGTGTCCGTGTCTCAGTGTCTCAGTGTCTCTGTGTGTGTCCGTGTCTCCGTGTCTCCGTGTGTCTCCGTGTGTCTGTGTGTCTGTGTGTCCGTGTCTCTGTGTGTCTGTGTGTCTGTGTGTGTGTCTCAGTGTCTCCGTGTCTCCGTGTCTATGTGTGTCTGTGTCTCAGTGTCTCTGTGTGTCCGTGTCTCCGTGTGTGTCCGTGTCTCTGTGTGTCTGTGTGTCCGTGTGTCCGTGTCTCAGTGTGTCTGTGTGTCTGTGTGCCCGTGTCTCTGTGTGTCCGTGTCTCAGTGTCTCAGTGTCTCTGTGTGTGTCCGTGTCTCCGTGTCTCAGTGTGTCTGTGTGTCTGTGTCTCTGTGTGTCTGTGTGTCTGTGTGTCCGTGTCTCAGTGTCTCAGTGTCTCTGTGTGTGTCCGTGTCTCCGTGTCTCTGTGTGTCTCTGTGTCTCCGTGTGTCTGTGTGTCCGTGTCTCTGTGTGTCTGTGTGTCTGTGTGTGTGTCTCAGTGTCTCTGTGTGTCCGTGTCTCCGTCTCAGTGTCTCTGTGTGTCCGTGTCTCTGTGTGTCTGTGTGTCCGTGTCTCCGTGTGTGTCCGTGTCTCTGTGTCTCCGTGTGTGTTCGTGTCTCCGTGTGTGTCCGTGTCTCCGTGTGTCTGTGTGTCTGTGTGTCTGTGTCTCTGTGTGTCTGTGTCTCCGTGTCTCCGTGTGTGTCCGTGTCTCCGTGTGTCTTCGTGTGTCTGTGTGTCTGTGTCTCTGTGTGTCTGTGTCTCCGTGTCTCAGTGTCTCCGTGTGTGTCCGTGGCTCCGTGTGTGTCCGTGTCTCCGTGTGTGTCCGTGTCTCTGTGTGTCTGTGTGTCTGTGTGTCCGTGTCTCCGTGTGTGTCCGTGTCTCTGTGTCTCCGTGTGTGTCCGTGTCTCCGTGTGTGTCCGTGTCTCCGTGTCTCCGTGTGTCTGTGTGTCTGTGTGTCTGTGTGTCTGTGTCTCCGTGTGTGTCCGTGTCTCCGTGTGTCTCCGTGTGTCTGTGTGTCTGTGTCTCTGTGTCTCCGTGTCTCCGTGTGTGTCCGTGTCTCCGTGTGTGCCCGTGTCTCCGTGTGTGTCCGTGACTCTGTGTGTCTGTGTGTCTGTGTCTCTGTCTGTCTGTGTCTCTGTGTCTCCGTGTCTCCGTGTATGTCCGTGTCTCAGTGTGTGTCCGTGTCTCTGTGTGTGTCCGTGTCTCCGTGTGTGTCCGTGTCTCCGTGTGTGTCCGTGTCTCAATGTCTCTGTGTGTGTGTGTCTCAGTGTGTCCGTGTCTCTGTGTGTGTCCGTGTCTCCGTGTGTCTCCGTGTCTCCGTGTGTGTCCGTGTGTCTCCGTGTGTGTCCGTGTGTCTCCGTGTGTGTCCGTGTGTCTGTGTCTCTGTGTGTCCGTGTCTCTGTGTGTCTGTGTGTCTGTGTCTCCGTGTGTGTCCGTGTCTCTGTGTGTCCGTGTGTCAGTGTGTGTGTGTGTCCGTGTCTCCGTGTGTCTCCGTGTCTCAGTGTGTCTGTGTGTCTGTGTGTCCGTGTCTCCGTGTGTGTCTGTGTGTCCGTGTGTGTCCGTGTCTCCGTGTGTGTCCGTGTCTCAGTGTGTCTGTGTGTCTGTGTGTCCGTGTCTCAGTGTGTCTGTGTGTCTGTGTGTCCGTGTCTCCGTGTCTCTGTGTGTCCGTGTCTCAGTGTCTCAGTGTCTCTGTGTGTGTCCGTGTCTCCGTGTCTCCGTGTGTCTCCGTGTGTCTGTGTGTCTGTGTGTCTGTGTGTCCGTGTCTCTGTGTGTCTGTGTGTCTGTGTGTGTGTCTCAGTGTCTCCGTGTCTCCGTGTCTATGTGTGTCTGTGTCTCAGTGTCTCTGTGTGTCCGTGTCTCCGTGTGTGTCCGTGTCTCTGTGTGTCTGTGTGTCCGTGTGTCCGTGTCTCAGTGTGTCTGTGTGTCTGTGTGCCCGTGTCTCTGTGTGTCCGTGTCTCAGTGTCTCAGTGTCTCTGTGTGTGTCCGTGTCTCCGTGTCTCCGTGTCTCAGTGTGTCTGTGTGTCTGTGTCTCTGTGTGTCTGTGTGTCCGTGTCTCAGTGTCTCAGTGTCTCTGTGTGTGTCCGTGTCTCCGTGTCTCTGTGTGTCTCTGTGTCTCCGTGTGTCTGTGTGTCCGTGTCTCTGTGTGTCTGTGTGTCTGTGTGTGTGTCTCAGTGTCTCTGTGTGTCCGTGTCTCCGTGTGTGTCCGTGTCTCTGTGTGTCTGTGTGTCCGTGTCTCCGTGTGTGTCCGTGTCTCTGTGTCTCCGTGTGTGTTCGTGTCTCCGTGTGTGTCCGTGTCTCCGTGTGTCTGTGTGTCTGTGTGTCTGTGTCTCTGTGTGTCTGTGTCTCCGTGTCTCCGTGTGTGTCCGTGTCTCCGTGTGTCTCCGTGTGTCTGTGTGTCTGTGTCTCTGTGTGTCTGTGTCTCCGTGTCTCAGTGTCTCCGTGTGTGTCCGTGGCTCCGTGTGTGTCCGTGTCTCCGTGTGTGTCCGTGTCTCTGTGTGTCTGTGTGTCTGTGTGTCCGTGTGTGTCCGTGTCTCTGTGTCTCCGTGTGTGTCCGTGTCTCCGTGTGTGTCCGTGTCTCCGTGTGTCTGTGTGTCTGTGTGTCTGTGTGTCTGTGTCTCTGTGTGTCTGTGTCTCCGTGTGTGTCCGTGTCTCCGTGTGTCTCCGTGTGTCTGTGTGTCTGTGTCTCTGTGTCTCCGTGTCTCCGTGTGTGTCCGTGTCTCCGTGTGTGTCCGTGTCTCCGTGTGTGTCCGTGACTCTGTGTGTCTGTGTGTCTGTGTCTCTGTCTGTCTGTGTCTCTGTGTCTCCGTGTCTCCGTGTATGTCCGTGTCTCAGTGTGTGTCCGTGTCTCTGTGTGTGTCCGTGTCTCCGTGTGTGTCCGTGTCTCCGTGTGTGTCCGTGTCTCAGTGTCTCTGTGTGTGTGTGTCTCAGTGTCTCCGTGTCTCTGTGTGTGTCCGCGTCTCTGTGTGTGTCCGCGTCTCCGTGTGTGTCCGTGTCGCAGTGTGTGTCCGTGTCGCAGTGTGTGTCCCTGTCTCTGTGTGTCTGTGTCTCTGTGTGTTGGTGTCTCCGTGTCTCAGTGTCTCCGTGTCTCCGTGTGTGTCCGTGTCTTCGTGTGTCTGTGTGTCCGTGTCTCCGTGTGTGTCCGTGTCTCCGTGTGTGTCCGTGTCTCCGTGTCTCCGTGTGTCTGTGTGTCTGTGTGTCTGTGTCTCTGTGTCTCTGTGTGTGTCCGTGTCTCCGTGTGTGTCCCTGTCTCCGTGTGTCTGTGTGTCTGTGTGTCCGTGTGTCTGTGTGTCCGTGTGTCTGTGTGTCCGTGTCTCTGTGTGTCCGTGTCTCCGTGTGTGTCCGTGTCTCCGTGTGTGTCCGTGTCTCCGTGTGTGTCCGTGTCTCCGTGTGTCTGTGTGTCTGTGTGTCTGTGTCTCTGTGTGTCCGTGTCTCCGTGTGTGTCCGTGTCTCCGTGTGTGTCCGTGTCTCCGTGTGTGTCCGTGTCTCCGTGTGTGTCCGTGTATCTGTGTGTCTGTGTGACTGTGTGTCTGTGTCTCTGTGTGTCTGTGTCTCTGTGTGTCCGTGTCTCCGTGTCTCAGTGTCTCCGTGTGTGTCCGTGTCTCCGTGTCTGTGTCTCTGTGTGTGTCTCTGTGTCTCCGTGTCTCTGTGTGTCTCTGTGTCTCTGTGTGTCCGTGTCTATGTGGCTCAGTGTATCTGTGTCTCTGTGTGTCCGTGTCTCAGTGTCTCAGTGTCTCTGTGTCTCTGTGTGTCTGTGTCTCTGTGTGTCTGTGTCTCTGTGTGTCCGTGTCTCCGTGTCTCCGTGTCTCTGTGTGTCCGTGTCTCCGCGTCTCTGTGTCTCAGTGTCTCCGTGTGTCCGTGTCTCAGTGTCTCAGTGTCTATCTGTCTCAGTGTCTCTGTGTCTCTGTGTGTCTGTGTCTCTGTGTGTCCGTGTCTCCGTGTCTCTGTGTGTCCGTGTCTCCGTGTCTCTGTGTGTCTGTGTCTCTGTGTGTCCGTGTCTCCGTGTCTCTTTGTGTCCGTGTCTCTGTGTGTCTGTGTCTCCGTGTCTCTGTGTCTCTGTGTGTCTGTGTCTCTGTGTCTGTGTGTCCGTGTCTCTGTGTCTATGTGTCTCCGTGTCTCCGTCTCCGTGTCTCTGTGTGTGTCTCTGTGTGTGTCTCTGTGTGTGTCTGTGCGTGTCTCCGTGTCTCTGTGTCTCCGTGTCTCAGTGTCTCCGTGTCTGTCTCAGTGTCTCAGTGTCTCCGTGTCTGTCTCAGTGTCTCAGTGTCTCCGTGTCTCAGTGTCTCAGTGTCTCAGTGTCTCCGTGTCTCAGTGTCTCAGTGTCTCCGTGTCTGTCTCAGTGTCTCAGTGTCTCCGTGTCTGTCTCAGTGTCTCAGTGTCTCCGTGTAGTGTCTCCGTGTCTCAGTGTCTCACTGTCTCAGTGTCTCAGTGTCTGTCTCAGTGTCTCAGTGTCTCAGTGTCTCTGTGTCTCCGTAGGGCCAAGCTGAACCACAACGTGGCGCTGGTGTCTCAGTGTCTCAGTGTCTCCGTGTCTCTGTGTTTGAGTGTCTCCGTGTCTGTCTCCGTGTCTGTCTCCGTGTCTGTCTCCGTGTCTGTCTCAGTGTCTCCGTGTCTCCGTAGGGCCAAGCTGAACCACAACATGGTGCTGGTGTCTCAGTGTCTCCGTGTCTGTCTCAGTGTCTCCGTGTGTCCGTGTCTGCCTCAGTGTCTCCGTGTGTCCGTGTCTGTCTCTGTGTCTCCGTGTCTCCGTGTCTCCGTAGGGCCAAGCTGAACCACAACGTGGCGCTGGTGCAGGCCCCGATAGGCCTGGGGAGTGAGACGCAGGGCATCATCGACCTCATCCACAACCACGCACTCTACTTCCACGGGGACTACGGGTACGCTCACCCCCTCGCTCGCCCCCTCGCTCACCCCCTCGCTCGCCCCCTCGCTCACCCGCTCGCTCACCCCCTCGCTCACCCGCTCGCTCACCCCCTCGCTCACCCGCATGCTCACCCACACGATTGCTCGCTCACCCGCACGCTCACCCACACGCTCACCCGCTCGCTCACCCACACGATTGCTGGCTCACCTGCACGCTCACCCACTTGGAGGAGACGCGCCGTCTGTCCTCGTCTGTCCCCCGCGTGTCCCTGTGTGTCTCCGTGTCTCCCCGTGTGTCTCCATGTGTCCCCGTGTGTCTCCCCGTGTGTCTCCCCGTGTGTCTCCGTGTGTCTCTGTGTGTCTCCCCGTGTCTCCCCGTGTCTCCCCGCGTGTCCCTGTGTGTCTTTGTGTGTCTCCGTGTGTCTCCCCGTGTGTCTCCGTGTGTCTCCCCGTGTGTCTCCGTGTGTCTCCCCGTGTGTCTCCGTGTCTCCCCGTGTGTCTCCGTGTGTCCCCGCAGGGAGCGTGTGGAGACAGGCCCGGTCCCCGAGGCCCTGCGAGAGGAGACACGTTGTCTCCCCGTGTGTCTCCGTGTGTCTCTGTGTGTCTCCGCATGACTCCCCGCGTCTCCCCGTGTGTCTCCCCGTTTGTCTCCGTGTCTCCCCTTGTGTCTCCGCATGACTCCCCGCGTCTCCCCGTGTGTCTCCGTGTCTCCCCGTGTGTCTCCGTGTGTCCCCGCAGAGAGGAGACACTTGTCTCCCCGTGTGTCTCCGTGTCTCCCTGAGTGTCTCCCCGTGTGTCTCCGTGTGTCTCCGTGTGTCTCCCCGTGTGTCTCCCCGTGTGTCTCCCCGTGTGTCTCCCCGTGTGTCTCCCCGTGTGTCTCCCCGTGTGTCTCCCTGAGTGTCTCCCCGTGTGTCTCCGTGTGTCTCCGTGTGTCTCCCCGTGTGTCTTCCCGTGTGTCTCCCCGTGTGTCTCCCCGTGTGTCTCCCTGAGTGTCTCCCCGTGTGTCTCCGTGTGTCTCCGTGTGTCTCCCCGTGTGTCTCCCCGTGTGTCTCCCCGTGTGTCTCCCCGTGTGTCTCCCCGTGTGTCTCCCCGTGTGTCTCCCCGTGTGTCTCCCCGTGTGTCTCCGTGTGTCTCCGTGTGTCTCCGTGTGTCCCCGCAGGGAGCGTGTGGAGACAGGCCCGGTCCCCGAGGCCCTGCGAGAGGAGACACGCCGTCTCCGCCAGGAGCTGGTGGAGACGGTGGCCGACGTGGACGACGAGCTGGGGGAGATGTTCTTGCAGGAGTGCCAGCCCAGCGTGACGCAGCTCAAGGCACAGCGCGCACACACGCAGCATACACACAGCATACACACAGCATACACACACACAGCATACACACACCATACACACACAGCATACACACACACAGCATACACACACCATACACACACAGCATACACACAGCATACACACACAGCACACACACAGCATACACACACACACAGCACACACACACACAGCATACACACACACACAGCATACACACACACACACAGCATACACACACAGCTTACACTCCCCCCCCCACCCCCCCCCCGTGTTTCACCCCCCTCCCCCCCCCCCTGCCCCTCCCTCCTCCCCCCCCTGCCCCTCCCCCCCCCCTGCCCCTCCCCCCTGCCCTCCCCCCCCCTGCCCCTGCCCCTCCCCCTCCCCGCGTCACGACGCCCTCCCCCCCAGGCTGCAATCCGCAGGGCCACGATGTCTCGCTGCTTCTCCCCGGTGCTGCTGGGCACGGCTCTGAAGAACAAAGGGGTGCAGCCACTGCTGGACGCCCTCGTCGACTTCCTGCCCCACCCCGGGGAGGTCTCCAACTACGCCCTGCAGCAGCAGCAGCAGCAGCAGCAGCAGACGTACGCTCGCTACCAACAGCACTTGCCCCGGCAGTCTGTAGAGGCTACACGGGGGACCTTTGTCTCTGTGTCTACCTTCATAGGCGCTACAAACAGCACTTGCCCCGGCAGTCTGTAGAGGCTACACGGGGGATCTTTGCCTCTGTGTCTAACTTCATAGGTGCTGCTACTCGCTACCAACAGCACTTGCCCCGGCAGTCTGCTGAGGCTACACGGGGGATCTTTGTCTGTGTCTACCTTCATAGCTGCTGCTGCTACTCGCTACTAACAGCACTTGCCCCGGCAGTCTGTAGAGGCTACACGGGGGACCTTTGTCTCTGTGTCTAACTTCATAGGCGCTACTAACAGCACTTGCCCCGGCACTCTGTAGAGGCTACACGGGGGACCTTTGTCTGTGTGTCTAACTTCATAGGCGCTACTAACAGCACTTGCCCCGGCAGTCTGTAGAGGCTACACGGGGGATCTTTGTCTCTGTGTCTACCTTCATAGCTGCTGCTGCTAGCTACTAACAGCACTTGCCCCGGCAGTCTGTAGAGGCTACACGGGGGACCTTTGTCTGTGTGTCTAACTTCATAGGCGCTACTAACAGCACTTGCCCCGGCAGTCTGTAGAGGCTACACGGGGGATCTTTGTCTCTGTGTCTACCTTCATAGCTGCTGCTGCTAGCTACTAACAGCACTTGCCCCGGCAGTCTGTAGAGGCTACACGGGGGACCTTTGTCTGTGTGTCTAACTTCATAGGCGCTACTAACAGCACTTGCCCCGGCAGTCTGTAGAGGCTACACGGGGGACCTTTGTCTGTGTGTCTAACTTCATAGGCGCTACTAACAGCACTTGCCCCGGCAGTCTGTAGAGGCTACACGGGGGACCTTTGTCTTTGTGTGCACTTAGGGAGTCTCAGGAAAAGTGCCGTGTGCTGCTGAACCCGGCACGGGACGACACTCACCCCTTCGTAGGCCTGGCCTTCAAACTAGAGGTGACGTCACCACCACCGCAACCACCGACACCACCACCGAAACCACCAACACAGCCACCACCATCGCCACAACCACCACCGCAACCACCAACACAGCCACCACCATCGCCACAACCACCACCGCAACCACCAACACAGCCACAACCACCACAACCACCACCGCAACCACCAACACAGCCACCACCATCGCCACAACCACCACCGCAACCACCAACACAGCCACAACCACCACAACCACCACCGCAACCACCAACACAGCCACCACCATCGCCACAACCACCACCGCAACCACCAACACAGCCACAACCACCACAACCACCACCGCAACCACCAACACAGCCACCACCATCGCCACAACCACCACCGCAACCACCAACACAGCCACAACCACCACAACCACCACCACAACCACCACCGAAACCACCAACACAGCCACCACCACCACAACTGTGGCTGTTTGCTTATTGTTGTTTATTATTGTTGGTGCGTGTGGATGTGTATGGATTGTGTGCGTGGTTGTGTGTACATGGCTGTGTGATTGTGCGTGCGTGATTGTGTGTGCGTGATTGTGTGATTGTGCGTGGTTGCGTGATTGTGCGTGGTTGCGTGATTGTGCGTGATTGTGAGTGCATGATTGTGTGATTGTGCGTGCGTGATTGTGAGTGCGTGATTGTGTGATTGTGCATGATTGTGTGATTGTGCGTGCGTGATTGTGTGATTTTGTGTGCGTGATTGTGTGATTTTGTGTGCGTGATTGTGTGACTGTGGTTGTGTGATTGCGCGTGGTTGTGTGATTGCGGTCGTGTGATTGTGCGTGCTTGCGTGATTGTGGTCGTGTGATTGCGCGTGATTGTGTGTCTGTGTGTGTCTTGTGCGTGCAGGCGGGGCGCTTTGGACAGCTCACGTACATGCGCGTGTACCAGGGCTGTGTGCGTCGTGGGGAGTACATGCACAACACACGCACGGGCAAGCGCGTGCGTGTGCAAAGGCTCGTGCGCATGCACTCCAGCCAGATGGAGGTGGGTGCACACACACGCACACACACGCACACACACGCACACACACACACACATGCACACACACGCACACACACGCACACACACACACACATGCACACACACGCACACACACGCACACGCACGCACACACACACACGCGCACACACACACACACGCACACACACGCGCACACACACACACACATGCAGATCGACTCGGCCTCAACATCTCCTGCCGGGGTGTGGTTTGCCGGCCACACCACCACCACCACCACCTCGTGGCCTTCACCGTCGCCGCCGACGCTGCCGCTCGCTAGCGAGCACTTGCCCCGGCGGTCCGCCGAGGCTGCACGGGGGACCTTGGCGTGTGTGTGTGTGTGCGTGCGTGTGTGTGTATGTGTGTGTCTGTGTGTGTGTGTGTGTTCGGGGAGCGGTGGTGCAGCGGTTAGCGCTACGCTGCGCTATGAACCCGGCGACCCGGGTTCGATTCCCGCTCACGGCCAACACCGGCGACGATTATCTGAACCGGTCCCGGGCCTCCCCTAGGTCGACTCAGCCTCAAATGAGTACCTGGTGCGGTGTGTAAACATTGCCACTAGGGAGACAAAGGCGGTCGGGCGTGGTGCTGGCCACCCACCCCCTCGTGTACCGTTCCGGCCTTCATAGGTGCTCGCTAACAGCACTTGCCCTACAGTCTGTTAAGGCTACACGGGGGATCTTTGTGTGTGTGTGTGTGCGTGCGTGTGTGTGTGTGCGTGCGTGTGTGTGTGCGTGTGTGTATGTGTGTGTGCGTGTGCGTGTGTGCATGTGTGTGTGTGCGTGCGTGTGTGTGTGCGTGTGTGTGCGTGTGTGTATGTGTGTGTGTGTGTGTGCGTGTGCGTGTGTGCATGTGTGTGCGTGCGTGTGTGTGTGCGTGTGTGTGCGTGTGTGTGCGTGTGTGTGCGTGTGTGCGTGTGTGTGTGCGTGTGTGTGTGCGTGCGTGTGTGTGTGTACGTGTGTGCGTGTGTGTGTGTGTGTGTGCGTGTGTGTATGTGTGTGTGTGCATGTGTGTGTGTGCGTGCGTGTGTGTGTGCGTGTGTGTGCGTGTGTGTATGTGTGTGTGTGTGTGTGCGTGTGTGTGTGTGCGTGTGTGCGTGTGTGTGTGCGTGCGTGTGTGTGTGTACGTGTGTGCGTGTGTGTGTGTGTGTGTGCGTGTGTGCGTGCAGGACATCGAGGCGGCCTACGCGGGAGACATCTGTGCACTGTTCGGCATCGACTGCGCCAGCGGCGACACCTTCTGTAGCAAGTCCAGCACAGACCTCTCCATGGTGCTGATGTGTGTGTGTGTCAGTGTGTGTGTGTGTACGTGTGTGTGTGTGTGTGTCAGTGTGTGTGTGTGGGGAGCGGTAGTGTAGCGGTTAGCGCTACGCTGCGCTATGAACCTGGCGACCCGGGTTCGATTCCTGCTCACGGCCAACACCAGTGACGATTATCTGAACCGGTCCTGGGCCTCCCCTGGGTCGACTCAGCCTCAAATGAGTACCCGGTGCGGTGTGTAAACATTGCCACTAGGGAGACAAAGGCGGTCGGGCGTGGTGCTGGCCACCCACCCCCTCGTGTACCGTTCCGGCCTTCATAGGTGCTCGCTAACAGCACTTGCCCCTACAGTCTGTTAAGGCTATATGGGGGATCTTTGTCTTTGATCTTTGTGTGTGTGCGTGCGTGTGCGCGCGTGCGTGTGTGTGCGTGTGTGTACGTGTGTGTGTGTGTGTGCGTGTGTGTGTGCGTGCGTGCATGTGTGTGTACGTGTGTCTGCGCGTGAGTGCGATTGCCGCTCACGGCCAACACCGGTGACGACTATGTGAAGCCGGTCCTGGGCCTCCCATAGGTCGACTCAGCCTCAAATGAGTACCTGGTGCGGTGTGCAGTAAACATCGCCACTGGGGGAGACAAAGGCGGCCGGGCGTGGTGCTGGTAGCCGGTAGCCTTCATAGGTGCTGCTCGCTAACAGCACTTGCCCCAGCAGTCTGTAGAGGCTACACGGGGGACCTTTGTCTGTGTCTACCTTCATAGGCGCTGCTACTCGCTACTAAGAGCACTTGCCCCAGCAGTCTGTTGAGGCTACACGGGGGACCTTTGTCTGTGTCTACCTTCATAGGTGCTGCTGCTACTCGCTACTAACAGCACTTGCCCCAGCAGTCTAGAGGCTACACGGGGGACCTTTGTCTGTGTCTA